AAAATGTTTCGTGTCTATTTTTAACATAAAAGCTACGTTTTTTATACTACCAGATTTGACCTCCTTCGACCCGATCGTTGGCCTGTTAAAACAGGCCGGCGCGTCGCTTTGCCTAACTTCCGGTCAGCTCAAATGGGGCTCCGGAGTAGAGCAAATTGACTTTCACACTTGCCCCGATGTCAATTTTACCAACGTAGATTGCTCGGACGCACCGGGGAATAGGAAAAAAGCTTTTGCTGATCCTTACAATACGTCGGTGGTAGCCACCATCCGGAGGATTGACGAGGAGCCCATTTATGCCAAATTGTACCCATATCCCATGGGAGCAGCCGATTTCGTCAACGGCGAAATTCAGGAACTGCTTAAAAATGGCATTACCCAAAAATCGAGATCCCCCTAAAATAACTCAATATGGTTCGTAGACAAAAAGGGCACCGATGAAACGGGCAATAAAAAAATTCATTTGGTACTCGACTTCCGCAAACTGATCGAAAGGACGGTACCGGACAGATACCCCATGCCAAATATCTCAATGATATTGGGGAACCTCGGAAAGGCCAAATACTTCACCACGCTCGATCAAATCACGCTCGCTGTACGCGACCGTGGAAAGACGTCATTCTCAGTAAACGGAGGGAAGTATGAGTTCAGAAGACTTGTATTCGGACTCAGGAATGCTGCAAGCATCTTCCAGAGAACAATTGACGACATTCTGCGAGCAGATCGGCAAGTTCTGCTAGGTTTACGTCGATGACGTCATCACTTTTTCAGAAGATAAAAATGCCCATGCTAAGCACGTAGATTGGGTTCTAAAGAGCCTATATGATGCCAACATGAGGATATCGGCAGAAAAGGCGTTTTTTTAAAAAAAGCGTGAGCTTCCTAGGGTTCATGGTCACCAACAATGGTGCGGCGACTGACCCAGAGAAGGTCAAGGCCATAAAATAATTTCCAGAGCCCAAAAACGTAGTTGAGGTCAAAGCATTCCTGGGCATTAATAGCGACGCCCTTTTCAGACATACTGAAGGGCGAAAATGGGAGTGTTAGCCGACACAGGTCCAGGAGTATCCAGGTACAATTTTCCGAAGCGCAACAAAGTGCCTTAGAGAAATCTAACGTTTGATCTAACGACAGATGCTTCGGCCTACGGCATTGGGACGTCCCCCCAAGAGGGACGTCCGATTACAATGATCTCTAGGACATTGAGCGACAGAGAGGTTAACTATGCTACCAATGAAAGGGAGCTGTTAGACATAGTCTGGGCACTAGCCAAGTTGCGGCACTACCTATACGCGGTCAAAGAAATAATCATTTTTACCAACCACCAACCGTTGACATTTGCGGTATCGGAATCCAATCCAAACGCTAAGATAAGAGGTGGAAAGCAGGCATCGATGAGTCTGGCGCACGAATTTTTTACAAGCCCAGAAAAAATAACCTCGTTGCAGCTGCCCTCTCGAGACAACAACTCAATGTTGTTGGAGACCAGGAACCAGAGTCGTGCGGGGCCACGGTTCACAGCGAACTTTCGCGTACACACACGATCGAGTCCACGGACAAACCCGTAAATTGCTTACAAAACCAAATAATTTTAGAAGAGGGCGCTCCCCTTGGAAACGCACTTTTATACTTTTTGGGAATAAGAGGCACCACTCAACCAACTTCTCGTGCAAACAAACTTTGCTAGAGAAATTTGCCAACACCATTATCCCTAATGGTGTGAATGCCTTCCACTGTGATCTTCACACGTTGGAACAAATCCAGGACAAGGTGCTTCGAAAATTGCGCCAAAGCAAAGTCCGACAGACATCCGAAGAAACAGGAGCTCGGTGAAACACTAATCCCGGCCAATGTAGGAGAAATAATATGTTGTCAAATATCTCCATTCCGTTTTTTTTGCTCTTTATTCAATGCTTTATAAAAAGTGTTACAGTGATCAGATTTAGTTCAAATATGCGCCGTTTTATTCGATAATCTGTTTCCATCTAGACGGCAACTTCATAATACCTCCCTCGTAGAAGCCCCCCTCCTTATTTGCGAAGAACTCGGACAGCCACTTTTCACAAGCCTCTTTTGAGTTCAACTTTACACCACCAAGGGCATTCGCCATGGACAGGAATAGGTGGTAATCACTTGGCGCTATGTCCGGGCTATATGGTGGATGCGATAAAACCTCCCATCCGAGCTCCCGTAGCTTCTGACGAGTCATCAACGAAGTGTGTGGTCTGGCGTTGTCCTGGTGGAACTCTACACCCTTCCTGTTGGCCAATTCTGGACGCTTCTGGTCGATCGCCTGCTTCAAGCGGTCCAGTTGTTCGCAGTAGATGGTAGAATTAAGCGTCTGGCCATATGGGAGCAGCTCATAGTGGATGATTCCCTTCCAATCCCACCAAACACACAGCAAAACCTTCCTGGCCGTCAATCCCGGCTTGGCCACTGTTTCGGACGATTCACCGGCCTTCGACTACGACCGTTTTCGCTTGTTATTGTCGTATGTGGTCCTTCAAGAATGGGTCGAGTTCGTTCCGTTTCAGCAGCATATCGCAGGCGTTGATTCGGTCCAGAAGGTTTTTTTGCGTCAAATCATGCGGCACCCAAACATCAAGCTTTTTTTTGTATCCAGCCTTCTGCAGATGGTTTAAAATGGTTTGGTGACTAACTCCCATCTCCTGGGCGATGTCACGAGATGCCACATGCCGGTCTAACTCGATGTATTCCATGATTTGATCGGTATTTGTCGTCACAGGTCTTCCGCCGGCTGGCTTATCCATGGTGTCGTTTTCACCGGCTCTGAATCGTCGAAACCATTCCTCCGCGGTTCGAAGTGATAGAGTACCATCCCCCAAAACACCATTAATCTCACGGAACGTTTCTCTAGCGGATTTGCCTTTAACGAAGGAAAACTTTAAAATAGCGCGAATTTCGGCGTTAGTGAACTCCATGTTTACACGTCTATAACTGTTGAACGCAATATCCAAACTAATCATGCATAGCGTCGTTTTGTAGGTTTCCTTTCAAATTATGTATTGTATTGCCAGATACGAGCTCTGTAGCGCTTTGTACATAGCCGCGAAATTCAAAAGACAAAAAAGCGGAAGGGAGATATTTGCCAAACTAATATTACACATTAATATTTTCACAACGGATAAGAAATACTTTCTCACCTGCGTTGACTAGTTTTCTAAATTTGCTATGGTACAGTCGATTCCGTCTAGAACCATAGAGGATTTGAAAGCACCCCTCGCCACCCCGCCATTTTGGCGTCAGCATCTCGAATGCACCACCCCTCCATGGCGTCACCAACGGACAGGTGGAACGCTTCCACAGCACGTTGGTAGAACTCGCTAGATGCCTAAAAAAAAGACAAAGTGGAGTTGATCTTGCTGGGCACAGCCAGATAGAATCCACTCTGTGATGAACAAGAAACCGGCCGAGGTCATGTGGGCACATCCAGACGATTCACAAGTTGATGTCCAGGAAAAAATAAAAAACGCCCAAAATTTGACAAGAAACCGAGAAAACTCTTCTCGTCCTAGTAAAGTCAAACAGGCGACTAGGCAACAAACTCACTCCCTTAAGCGAGGAGAGAACCATCGAGGCAGACTTGGGTGAGGGTGGTCCAGAAAGACAACCAGAGGTAACCCGAGCAGAGCCCAGTTTCCCGGTTCCCTCGGAGTTTTTTTTTACTTTTTTCATTACCCATAGCCACTTGGCATAGTTTTCATTATTCGTAGTCACTCGGAACAATTTTTTACATCTTTTCACTATTATTGGTGGTGGGCAACTCCATTCCGAACATGTATTAATTAATCACACATATTACTGGTCGTTTCCAACGCTTCTACTTTGTCTCCTGGCCGTGACATCGGCCCATATCACAGATTACTCTCATGCAAATTATATTTCCGTCATTGACGGTAAAGTCTTAGTCTGGGAGGAATTTGCATACGTTAGACACTCGGCTAACCTCTCGGTCGATATGTTCCCCCAGTCCCACATGAAGGAGCTCCTGAGCATTGACATGCTTGACTCGTTGAGCGTCCATCCCAGAGTGGCCAGGAGCCTAGACTTCTTTGAAACTGCGTTCAAGGTTGTCGCAGGGACACCTGACGCTGAAGACTTTGAGAAGATAAGGTTCACTGAAGCACGACTAATTAATGCACATAATAGTCCAAACTTCCTGAACCAAGCAGACTTGGAGAATGTTTGGGGCGAGGAGCCCACCAACACCCTCATAAGGGAAATTTTGTCCGTTGCGTTCGTGAAAGTTATACAATCCCTTAACATTTTGCATTTCATAATGGCCTGTAATAAGGTCACCGTCCTTCCAGTGGCACACCATGATACGATGTTGAGGTTAGAGGATAATGTGGTGGCGGAGTGCAACTGAGAAATCCGCACCGTGAAGAACTGTTCCATATCACCCGGGGCGACGTTTTGCCAGTTAACTTCGGTGAGCTCGTGTGCCCAAGAGCTCCACGCTGGAGTCATGGTACATTGCGACACACAGCAGAGCGACCTACATCAATGATAGACCAGCTCTCGTGCGCGTGGATTATGGAACAAACATCCCCATTCGAGGCACGCACTTAATAACATTCATTGAGAGTGTGATAGTGCTATGGTCTTCATTAATCACGAGTAGCTTACTCCCCTGTCCTGAATATCTCAATGAAACACGAGATCCTGAGCTTCCCATATCTTCACCGCTTGAGTGAAAAGAATTTGGAAAAGAATCAGGAAATTCGAGAAAGACGTCGACGGATACCGACTTAGTAGGATAGCGCTAATTGCAGGAGCAATGATCGACAAGCATGCCGCCTGTGGACTGCTGCGTGGGATCATCCAGTGACCAGGATTATCCCAAATACTTAATTTATATATAAATAAATTTGTAGTATACGTAATAATATTTCGTAGTTTTACGAATTTTTTAATACAAAATCATATATATGTTATGTTCTTTACGAAAACAATTTTACACCTTTAAATCTACCTACCTTATACATTGCTTCTTCGGGTAAACGATTGTCCATTATCATGCAGGTTGCAACTTCCAGTCGCAATAGTGGGTCTTCAATCATCTCAGCAGCACAAGCGTGGTAAATGTTAGCTTGGCATTCCGTAGGTCCGTGCTGACAGTCGAAAGTAATTTTACCGTTGTATTGTTTCGTTTTCGCCTTGCCATACGGTGCTAGTTTAACTTCCATAATTGATTTAGCAATCTTAAATGTTGGCAGCAGTTGCTTAGCAAGAAAATACTTTGAGTCTGGACACAACGCCTCATAGTACACCGTTACAACCACTTTCGAAGCGGCCCTGTCATGAAGCTGACTCTATTAAAAAAGAACAAGGAAGAATGCTTATTCAATTTTATCGACTATTCAACTAGTGGGAGTGGCAGGAAAAAATTATAAAAATGTGATATTGATAGAAATTTGTTGTCATATTTATAGAAATTGTGCGGGATAGATAATAAGAATGCTTATTCCATTTTATCGACCATTCAGTTTTTATTCAACTAGTGGGAGTGGCAGGAAAAAATTACAAAAATGTCATATTGATAGAAATTTGTTGTCATATTTATCGAAATTATGCGGGCTAGAGTGGGCGTGGTAATCTTTGTGGGAGTTAGTCGTATATGAAAGCTGAAAACTTACATAAAAGTTACGAAAGTCAGATATGCCATTCAGCTCAGGGTAGAGTATCACTGAGAGTTTTGGATAACGGCAAGTTGACCCGTTCCCACATAAAGTTTATACGCGTAGTGCCCTTTCTTTTTTGACCGCACAGTCAGCGTGTGAAGGCAGAGAGTAGAAACAAATCTGAAAAAATGCGACCGAGTTCTCATCTTTTTTTATTTTGATCTTCACACGGGTACACACGAATAGGTGCTGCTGATCGAAAAATTAAAACGGAAATCGACGACCACGTGCTAAAGTTTTTGTTACAAGTCTTGTGTACATGATACAAAATCTCTTCGTTAGGCCGTCCTTGGATCCATCAAATCGATGAATCCTGTGCCAGGATTGAATTATACTCGGCACTTTCTCTGGTTGCACGGTGGAACTTGATCTGTTCACGCGCTGAGCGTTGCTAGCTCAACAGAATCTTAATGGAGATCGTGAGCTTTTTTTGTGACCATTTACGTTTGTTTTTCTTTAGCAAAGCAAACGAGTGGTACTAGAAGTTCCATCGGTCATCAGTTCAACTGGATAGTTTTGTAGAGAGTTTCGGATGCGCCGCACAAAACCACAAGTCGCATCCGAGGCAATAAAATCTGACCCAGACTGAAAAATTTTTGGAAATAACTCCTTATAATTTAATTACCAAACATGCAAGGCAGCGGATTTTCGGAGATGTCAGTACTTATACTCGAATACAGAAGTCCAGACGTTCAACACAACGATTGCGATATTTTTGGCAGAAGGTTGGAGAAAGTCATCGAAAGCTGATTGCCTCAATCTTTATAAACTCTGATGGTCGACTTTATACAGATATCCAAATCACTACGTCGCGTACCAAGCCAGTATAGTTTTTTGTAATCCCAAAACTTAAGCAAGATGTGTGTCTTTGTATAGACTTCTGGTGTGATTTTGGTTTATTTAGTAAGATCATGGATGACAAAGTTTAAGTAACGGAGTTGGATATAGGTCGAAAAGACGAAGCTGTTCAAAGTTCACATGCTGTCAGCACAGAAGAAAGATATTCAAGACTCACTTATAGCTAAATTACCTGCGAAAAGAACGGTCTAACACATTTGATAGAACGTTGTATTGATGTAGAAAAGGCAAAGTCAGTTAAGCAACGACATTAGCCAATCTCGCATGCAACAGAGAACCTCATGTTTCCCGAGTTGGAGAATATGTTAGCGTTAGGCGTGATATAAGAGTCTAACAGCCCGTGCAGCAGCAACTGTGTTCTGGTAAAGACAGGACCTAAAGTTCGCCTTTGTCTTGGTTCTAGGGAAGTGAATAAGTTCACTGAAAAATTCGCTCATCCGCTACCGCACATAGACGGCATATTGAGTGGATTACCCCCATCACAGTCCTTGACATGAAACACGCGTTCTGGCAAATACCACTAGAAGAGAAGTCCAGACATTTAACCATATTTACAATACCCTTGTATCAACGTTCGTAACGCTCAAACGCTTGTAACGCTCAAACCATTTGTAGACTAATAGATTTGGTTATCCCATCAAAATTGCGTACTAGAGTATTTGTTTAGAAGATCTTTTAGTTTTGTCGGACAATTTCAAGTCACATATGGAGAGGAAATTGCAGGAGAAACGTAAGTCAACGGCATTATACGCAATGGTTCAAAGATTGCAAAGATATCGACGAGTTTCGATAAGCTTTCAAGACGCTATACAACGGGCTAGAGGAACTGGAGTTTGCGCCGTCTCTTCGACGCTTGTGGCCGATTATTTTACCAAAAATCACTTTTTAACAATCAACCACTCCCCGTATTCATCTGATATGGCACCGTGCGATTTCTACCTTTTCGCAAAAAATGAATTTGTCGATAAAAGGAAAATTTTATGCAGACGTGGAGGCCATTCATAAGGCTTGCACCGGCATACTGGCGGGCAACGAGCTAATACACTAGTCAGACAAGCTGTATGCGTGCAAAAAGCTGTATTAAAGCACTTTTTTTTAAAGTCCTGTTTACTTTGGAACGTATCTTAATTAATTTTCCAATTAAAAGCTCAGTCTTAGTTTGGGAAACGTTATCAATTTTATTTATTGTGAATTTGCGCTTAGAATAGGGGCGACAACAACGAAGGTATTTGGCTACGAAAAAGTTCGACGACTATGCTTATCGATCAAGAAACGGAGAGTAGTGAGTGCAAAAAAAAAACAACCGCCGCGGCTGATATCATTGCATAGAAAAACAGAGAGAAAGAGCTATTCATGCTATTCGATATTCGGCTGCGTTCTTACATTATAATAGGCATCGAAATAACATTGTTTAGTATTAATTATTATGGAATTCGATTTTGCTGTTAAGAAGTCATATGGAGTTGGCTGCTGTCTCTTTCACTTTATACTAACATATTTACCATTGTAATAAATGTAATTCTTGTAAAATGTACAAGCCATCGCCTGTCATTGTGACTACACGAATTGAAATTAATTAATTTGTCTGATACGAAAAATTAAACATTAGGGCTAGATACTGGGATAAGAGAAAATAAAGTAGTTGCCCGTTAGTTATATTTTAGATTCCCAAAACATTTTAATTTGGAACGTGGCTTTTACGGTTGGGTAGGCTTAACTGAGCTCATACATCTGCTTAGTGAAACAAAACGGCTACCCCCCACCTTTCACCGACTATACAGCCGGAACCAGCACATGCGAACATCTTTTAATACACACCCATTCAGCTTGTGTGGCAAGATCATGCAACCACGGTTGAGGGTTGTATGCAACAGCGTACAGTTGAAACAGATGGTACAAAAAGCTTCGATTCCAAGCCCGAGAATTTCGAACCACAAAAGGGCTTGCAAGAACAAGGTTTATAAATGTTACCGTTGCGGACAGCAAGATCAGCGTGCTGCACAGTACACAGCCGAGGTCAAGGTAAAACAGGAGAACAGTGCTAGTACTGTTCACTTGCAAAACCCAGCGACAAAACCAAAGAGCGAATTTAAAGCTTCTGGCCTTGAACTGAAAGTTATAAAGCATAAAAATCTTTAATTCAAAAGACTCGTCGACACAGACGCAGATCTTTGTTTGATGCGAAGTAACATTTTCCTTAAACTAAGCAACGGAACCCTCATTGGTAAAGAGAAACGTTTGATGGGAATAGGCAGGAGTCAAGGCTTAGCGTTAAGATGTATAATAATACCCGTCGAAATTGAAAGCATACACAGTTTCACGTCGATCCAGTTGAAGATATGTGCATCGATGATATTTTTGGCAGAAGAACCTTTTTGGTTATAATAGACATGAATATAATCAAATAAGGTACGTAGATTTTGCTTCAACATGAAACCGAAATCGTTCGTGTTTTAATTTATACTTGGCTTCAGCGTTGATCTTTGTCTTCGTTACAGACGGATCATTTATTTGACTCAAGAAAATAGTAACTACGTAAGTGGCGCAGCCGGTAGAATGAAACATTGTTGATGCGATAGAAACCCTATTCAATTCTTCAATCATCATCCGCTAAAGAACTTTCGCAAATCGCGTCGGTAATATCGGTACAATCGGTTCACAACAAAAAGTGCCAACCAACGGTGTACCTAATCCCACAAAGTGATTGTGAACCTGAAACAACTTAAAATTATAAAAATTTTAAGAAGACGCCTTTGAATTCGCTGAGTAGTAAATCCACAAAAGGTTACTCAAAACAAATCGAAATAGCAAAGTGTGCAACAAATAATAACAGCTAAACTAAGTGAAAACCAAATAAACGTAAATACAACTAAGTGAACTACAATAACAACAGTTAACCTAAGCGAAAAATAAACTTAACCAGAAATAAACGAAAAATAATAATAACAGTGTAACTTAGTGAAAACTAAATAAACTTAATTACAACTAAGTGAACCATAATAATAACAGCTAAATTAAATGAAGACTAAATAAACTCAATTACAACTAAAACGAATTATAACGATAACAGTGCAACTAAGTGAAATATTATAATAATAAGTGAGCGAACTACAAGAAACCCTACCCAAGTTACGAACCGACAAATAAACCAACAGCAAATACACAAACATTAATCAAAATTCAAAGCCAACAAACCACAATGGCAGTAGCAGCGCCAACACAAATAGAACTGTCTGACTCGAATATGATTCAAGTCGAAAGACAAATACACGCAATCGAGGTTTTCAACGGAGATCCTAACACCTTGTACACTTTCATCAGTCGCATCGACTTCATCTTGGCTCTTTATCAGACTACAGATGAAAGGCAGAAGTTAATAATCTTTGGACACATCGAACGGAACATCAGTGGCGATGTTATCCGCGCCCTCGGAGTGACCAACCTCAGCAACTGGAGTGAACTCAGGACTCAACTTATACTTAACTACAAGCCCCAAGCACCGAACCACCAACTTCTAGAGGAATTCAGGAACACACAATATCGAGGTAACATTCGTCATTTCCTTGAAGAAGCCGAAAGAAAACGGCAGATACTTATAAGTAAATTAGAACTAGAAAACAATATTACTGAAACCACTCTATATACTAGATTAATACAAACCAGCATCGAAAATCTAATTCAAAAACTTCCAAGCCACATTTATCTCAGAATAATTAACTGTAATATTCCAAACCTGAGATCATTAATAAACATATTACAAGAAAAAGGTCTTT